GCCAAGGTAACTTCAGCTTATTTCAGCCTTTCAGCAATCCGGTGAATCAATGGAGATCAGTGGATTGCACCCTTGTGAAATCATACGATTACGCTTTGCAGTGATTGGTTAATTCGGTTCTAACAAAAAGGAAACACCACCAATTTGATATTTTTTTTTTTTTTACAAACCTTTAAAAGTGCTTAAAATTTGGATTTCAGTTGAATGGAAACACAGCTACTGATATAGAGATGTGGCCTGATCTCCTGGGGGGCCCCAAACCCCCTCTTTGGGAACTGCAAAACAATTTATAATAAATTGCACAGAAATTATTTGAATCATAAAATGATTCAAATAATTGATCTAATTTAAATTATTTAAAAAATATGAATATTTTGATAATTTTGATCGAGGAACAATAGATCATAGTTTTATTTTGATTTTTTGAGTCTAGCTAATCTTACGGTATTTGCAAATATTAGTTACGCTGGTTTTATCATCTGTGAATATTAACAAAGACTCTAAAAAGCACAAAGTCAATTATTTACATTTAAAATTAATTTCAAAGTTGTTAAAAAGACTCGAAAGGACTTGAAAATTTTCATTTTCAGACTTTGGACTTCACTTATAAACTCAAAATTTGCTGAACAAAGACACAGTCCCTCCTCTAGTGCAAGCTTTTCCCCCTGGGGGGAAACATTGGTAATGCACGTTTTATTTTCCTTCAAAACAGACCTAAAAGGAAGACGCACACACTCATTTGTTTTTATCGTTTTTTCTTTTAACTGTACATTTTATGTACAAGACAATTTCTCCAAAGGCGATACAAAATAAAAAAAATGGAACACATTTATAGTTACTGTTTGACAAAAAGTCTCTTGCTCTCCTCTTGACCATCACCCTAATCACTGAAACTGAGTGGTGGTGCAAAGCCGCTCCCTTTCACTACTGGACAGGAGAGATCACGTCTGTGGGATGTTAGCATGTATCCTGTGGTTTAAGAACTGAAAAAAACAGAAACTCCTAGAAAAAAATGAAAATACAGTAAAACTGGAATCTACTGACATCAGAATGAATAATCTGCACCTGCTGATGCAGCAATCATTAGTTTAGCTTCTGTAAATAATGTTAGAGAGCAACTAGTGATCCTGGAAGACTTTCTGTAATATGTCCGCTCCTTCCAGGATGAACCTGACCTTACCCCTTCGTCTTTCTGCTGCCGCCAAGATGTTTTCCTCTCATGCGTCCTTAGCAGACCTGGTCTGGTCTATTGATTTAGATAAAGTTAACATTTACAGCTGAGTGGTTTCCTGTTATTCATCTCATTTTAGGCACCGTATTTGACAGCAATAGGGCTAAAAGTAATCTGGATACAGCATCCGGACAGCGTAGCGGTGGCGAAGCAAGAGGTTAATCAGAGGCTGCAGGTCCAATCAGAAAGCCTGAAGCCAAACGCAGTGCCAGAGCCTACAGCATCGACCCGTCACTGAACAATCTGCGGCATCTCGCTCCAGGCTTTGGCCTTCTTCTTGGCGAGCGCCATCCAGGGTGGCTCGTCCTGCGGCAGGGCAGTGGAAGGCGAGCCCCCCTGCCGGGAGAGCGCCGAGGGTCTGGAGGCGGGCTTTTCTGGGACGGCCGATGGTGAAAAGGGCGGGGAGGTGAGTGAGCGGGGTTTGGAGGGAACAGACGGCGTCGTGGAAGCGGGAGACTTCAAGGGTGTGGATGCTGGAGCGGGAGAGGAGGGGGGCATCCGGGGCGAGTCTGTGTGGGGTGTGGGCTTCGCTGGGGTGGGGGGAGCCTGGGGTTTGGGTGTCTGAGGTGGTACTGGGGTCGCAACAGAGAGGGTCCTTCTGTTCTCCTTTTCTACGGCAACTGAAAGAAAAAAATAAAGATTTAGACTAAATGATGATTATTAATAATGGTGAGGCATCTCTGACTGTTTTATCAGAGCTGATGGACTTTAATCAGCCACCTCCCTAATGGACAGCAACACCTCCCGCTGCCACAGCAGACTCAAGGCGATTACCAGAGACTGCTCCCACTCTGGCTCTGGACAGTTTGACCTTTCACCCTCAGGGGGGGCGCTACAGCAACATTAGAACAACAACCAACAGACTAAGAACAGTGCAGACAGTAACCAGCAATATTCTAATCTCTGATGGACAATAAACATTTACTGCAATTTACACTGAGGCCCACATGCTCACATCGTACATCCCATATATTTCGCATTCCGTAAAAGTTTAAAATACAAATCACTGGACTTGGTTTCCAAGGTTTCAAGACGTTTCGCTTCCCCTCCAGGAAGCTTTCTCAATTCAAATGTCTCGAAACCTTGGAAAGCAAGTCCAGGGGATTGTTTTTTTTAAACTTTTACAGAATAACTCTGACCTGGAAGACTGAGAATCTTCATCAGCACATATATTTAGCATATTTTTCATATCTTTGCATTGATAGCAGTGATGTTTAATCTCTTTGTATTGCATATATAAAAATAAGCAGATAGATAAGCAAATAAAAGAAGCAGATCCACCCCACTGACACCGGTGAACATCCAGGGAACGGACATTGAGATAGTGGACTCTAATAAGTACCTGGGTGTTCATCTGGATAACAAACTGGACTGAGGCTCTGTATAAGAAAGGTCAGAGCAGACTCTTCCTGCTGAGGAGGCTGTGGTCTTTTGGAGAGCAGGGGGCGCTCCTGAAGACCTTCTATGACTCTGCTGTAGCATCAGCCATCTTCTATGGAGCTGCCTGTTGGAGCAGTGGCTTATCTGTAGCTGGATAAGCTGATCAGGAAGGCCAGCTCTGTGACTGGATGCCCTCTGGACTCATTGCAGGAGGTGGGAAACAAAAGGATCCTAACTAGATGAACATCTCTGTTGGATAATGTCTCCCACCCCATGCATGAAGCTGCTGCAGAACTAGAGAGCTCCTTCAGTGACAGACTGCTGCACCCTAAATGCAGCAGGGAGCGTTATCACTGATCCTTCCTCCCAGCAGCTGGAAGACTTTATAACCACCACTGTTCCCAATAACCTCAATAAGTTGCTGCATTCAGGCTGATTTTGCAGAGTTTCTATCTTAGTCAGTTAAAAAACATGCTGCTGTCATTCTGCACATCTCTGATGTTGCTGCTATTTTTAAATATCCATTATTGTAAAAATGTTCATACCTGTATAAATGTTATTTATTCTCCGGGTGCACAGTGATATAATGTTAGAACACTTCACAGTACAGTATTTTATTATTAATTTTTTTCTTCTTCACTATTATGTTATTTTTATAAGTTTTTCTAATGTCCGCATGCGTGTGACCAAATTTTTTAATAATCTTTTTGTTGCTGTAAACACCAGAATTTCCTCATTGTGTGAAAATAAAGGGAATGTCTATTCTATTCTATTCCACAAAAACATTCAGATTCATTAGCTGGCTTTGGCCACATGAGGGCAGCGTTGCTTAAGTGAGAAGTCCTCTTAACTAGGGGTTCCTAAAGATTTCAGGCTGACCCCAAAAATAACATTAGTAAAGACAAATGACCTCCTTTAAACTATTTGCAAATATAGAGTGAAATAATTATACATTTCTCATAAATATTTTTGATGACGGGCGTACAGGTGGAGTAGTGGTTAGTGCGCACGACCCATGCCTTAATCCTCGACTTGGCCGACCTGGGTTCGAATCCGACCGGTGGTCCTTTGTTGCATGTCTCTCCCCCTCTCTCATCCCCCTTTCCTGTCAGCTTACGGTCAGAAAAATGAGCCACTAGTGCCGTAAAATCTCAAAAAAAAAAATAAAACATTTTTAATGACATTTTGTCTTTTCTGCATGGATTTAAAAGTGTAATTTAAATAATTTAATTGATCAATTCATTATTTAATTTGGTTTTCTATAAATTAATTGCATATTTAATATTTGAACAATGCATTAAATAAATAAAGGTTACATTCATTTGTTTTATAATATTCATTTATGCAATAATTTATTTTGAACCTCCATAAAACTCATGGATGCCATCGTAACTTTGGGAACCCCTGCTCTAAACAACAAAGCTGCACAAACAGGAAGTGCAAAGATTTCAGTCCATTTCAGCTGTAGTTGGGATGTGTGCAGCAGAGGCTGTGTTTGCAGGCGCTAACCTTTGCTGGAGGCTCCAACCGGTTTGCTGTTACTCAGACTCGTCGGCTTTTTCTCCTGTTCCTCCTGATGACAAAAGAGCTCAATTAGAATATTTTATTAATCATTGGATTATAGGATAAAGGATATGTCGATTTCAAATGGTTATGAAATAATATTAAAAAAAATCACATTCATGCAACATTAAAGGTATAATGGAGGATTTTCGCAAATTTTTTAAAAGACCCGCCCTCTCCACTTAAAAAAAAATGCACAAGCACAACCGTGTACCCACTCCTGAGAGGGAACGCCTATTAAACGTGTGTGAGAGCATGCACGAGTCCATCTCTCCTCTGCACGCTCTGTTTAAAACTTACTGTTTGCATTGCTCATACAACTTACTTTCCAAAAGAAGATTTTCAATTGTTCCACTATGTCAGACTCACCACCGGTAAGTGAAAATAGGGACGAGGACGTTAAGTAAACATATCACCATGATTGACAATTAGAAGGACCACTTATTTAGATGATCCACCTGGAAAAAGAACATCCTCCACTATACCTTTAATGTTGATCCATCACAGAAAATACCAAAAACAGCAGCTTATCTTAACTCTTAGCATATTCAAGTACAAAACTGTTTACCTTCTTGACAGTGATCTCATTCAGTGGGGTTTCTTTATAGACCTTCTGTTTCTGTTTGGCCACAGAGATCCAGCTGGGAGGGTCGGATCCACCTGAAGCACCTCGGGGTGAAGCCGGTTCTGTGTGGAGATAAGACGGGTCAGAGGAAGCAGCTTTGCTACGACCTGCGCAGCGTGCAGCGCTGACAGCGACACAGACCTGAGATGCGCCTCAGTTTGACTCCAGCGTCTCCAGGGACCTCTGGCTTTTTAGGAAGGGCAGGCTTGTTGCTGATTGGTTGGCTGAGAGCAGGCTTGTTGCTGATTGGTTGGCTGAGAGCAGGCTTGTTGCTGATTGGTTGGCTGAGAGCGGGCTTGTTGCTGATTGGTTGGCTGACAGAGGGCTTGTTGCTGATTGGTTGGCTGAGAGCGGGCTTGTTGCTGATTGGTTGTGGTGACTCATTTTTAAAGGAGGGCACATGGGTTGGCGACTCAACTTGAGGCTGAATGAAATAAATCAGGAGAAAGGACGATGATCATGTGTTGAAGTGGAAAGTTAGCATAATTTTTTTCTAATTCCTGTGCTTCGTCATCACCTCTGAATTGGCCTCTTCTGAGCCGAGCCGCAGCAGAGCCGTCGTCTTCCTCAGCCGAACTCCGAAAGGACTGTTGGGGTTGGCCTCCGCCGCTGCAGCGCCCTCTGCAGGCGGTAAAAAAACCAAACTGGAGTTAGCAGACAGACTAGAATTAATGATCAGGAAGAACCCATCTAGTCTTTACATCATCCTGCAGGTCACCGTGACAACAACAATTTGATGTGGACATCGTCTTTGACAGAGGAAGTTTCAGTAGGGTCCAAACTACAATGTTCCTCTTATATTTGGCGAATTTATGTTCAAATATTTTGCAAAAATATGTTGCGGTGTATGATGGGGTTTTGCATCTAAAGGCTAATGTTTCCCGTCTTACGTGCATAGTTTATTGTATTGCATTGTTTTATCTACACAGTTTAGGATGGCTGTCTTTAGGTAAAAAATGTTGCATCCGTGTTATTAACCAAAGCCAGTAAAACCGCATTATAGAAGTCTTGGTGGGGGGTGTAGATGGAAAAACGCCAGGGCTGAAAACCATTCCCAGTCTGAGTCTGATCTGACCCTTTATTTAAAATTACACACTAAATCAGTAAATGTGCCATATAGTGAAGCTCAATGTTCTCGCCTCAAATAATTTAAAAATGTAGTTTTATAGAACGACAGCAACAGAAAAGAGAACTTTTAACCCCTGGAAGCTGCTGCTGCAGTGCATGCTGGGACAGCTGTCAATCTCAAGAATGGACACGGCTGTTATGATGCATGCTGGGTAAAGAGGGAGGGGTGAGAACAACATCCGGAGACTTTGTTCTAAGTCTTCTGTTCTTGTGAAATGGAACAGTACTAGTGCTGCGGCTGATGACGTTTCACGAGCACATGAGGACATGAGAACGCACAAGTACACATATAGAGAAACATCCTGTCTAACACACATGGTGTGACATCTACCCTGATTCTAACATAAAATCATAGGTCATAGCTACATTTTTCATCAAAACTTTTTCAGAAACAATACATAGAATACAGTCATAGAATGTCTCAAGTGTTTTTCTAATGCTACGTTCAGAAGCACTGGAAGCAGCATGCTTCATACTTGTGCACATTAAGCTCAGATGCACATCCAGAGCATCTTTGGTGCTCCTGAAGCACGTCCAGTAAAGAGTGTCCTGATGCGTCTGATGCTTCTGCAGCTCCTGTGTTTAATGGCAGAGAGCGGCTTTGCTATGTTTCCTGTGATCAGTGGGTAACAAGTAGTTTTAATATGTTTTAAAGTGAGAAAGTCCACCTGAAAACATCGTCTGTGTAGTCAGTTTATCAAGATTATGATCCTGCCTTCAAGTATTATTTCTCTGTTGGAGCGGTGCGCTGTCACTGGAAATCCACTTTAACAGCAGCCTCTGGCCCAATCGCTTCTTTGGGGTTTCTCCGCTAATGTTTGCAGCGAACTAAAGGCGTTTTTCATGAACATAATCCAAACTGCAGGCACCAGGATGATAAATCAAACATATTTTACCGACAGGTTTTCTTTAAAGTTAATTTAGGCGTTAATAAACTGTTTCATAGAAGTGATCATAGCGATCTGGATGAGTGGTGCTGTGTCTGTCTCCCTGCCAGCTCCAAGATCAGCTTCTCTGATTGGTTGATGCGGCGCGTCGAGCAGCAAAAGTTACATTTTTATAACTGCAGCAGCTGCTGCTTGTGAGGTGTGTCATGCGTCTCAGATGCTCCGATGCTTGAAGATGCGCTGCTCCTGCTGCAGGAGCTTTAGATGCGCGTCAACCATTGACTTTGCATGTAAACCAGCTGCTTTTGCTGCTTCTATCATGGCGGTCTGAACGTAGCATAAGTATCAATATTATTGAAATGAGTCCCTTGTGGTGTAGAATCTACATGTAACATTCAAAATGTGTGTTAATCAAACGACTTGTCTGAGTTCTTCTCTGAGCAGAGTTCTGACCCTCACCTGCTGCTCTTGCTGCAGTCGGGGGTTCAGTCGGTGTGGAGCTTTGCAGTTTGGAAGTAAAGCTTCCTGAGCTCCTCCCCCTGCCTGGACTCTGCAGCGGCTCAGCCTTCGCCGGGCTGCTGGGCTCTGCCTTCAGCTCCGGATCCTTCGGACCCGCAGCCTCCAGCTCGCCGTCCTGGGGGGCTGGTCCAGCAGACGGGGATGCGGGGGCATTCTGTAACCTCTGCCAGGCGGGGGCGACGGTAAAGCGGGCTTTACTCTGATCTGTGGGCTTCTCTGATCTTACTTCCTGCACGGCGGCAGGAGGTGGACGGCTGGCCTCCTGCTCTGAACGCTGCTCTTCTTCGTCTTTCTCAGCCTCTGGTTGCTCCTCGGTTTCAGCCGACTCTGCTGGGTCAGCGACAGGCGGACGGAGCTCCAGTGGAGAGGCAGTTTTCTCTGCGGTGGGGGAGACGAGGTTGATGTTTAAGCTGCTGGTCTTACTGGGGGAGCTGATGGGAGCTTCATCAGACTGGGAGGAGGAGCGTGACTCTGAAAGAGGTAAAGGAGGAGGTTTGGAGGAAGCTTCTACTGGATCCACATAGATGAGGGGGCTGGTTTCCTCCCTCTCCTGCTCCAGCTCCTCCTGTTTTACATCTAAAGCACCTCCTTCCACCTCTTGCTCTTCTTCATCTTCGGATTCCTGATCCCTGAGCATCACCTCCTCCTCCTCCTCAGGTCCAGAGTCCTCCTTCAACATTTCTTCCTCCTCATCCCTCCTGGCAGGTACTCCATCGTCTGTATTTGTGGCAGCGTCATCTTCTTCAGCTGCTCCCTGAAGAGGCGAGCCCCTCTGAGCCTCCTCATCCTCCGACTCATGGACCACCTCCCTCAGTTCCTCTTCATCCTCTCCTTCTTCTACCACATCCACTTTAGCACCGCCTTCTTCTTCCTGCCTGTCCTCCCACTTTTCCTCAACAGTTTCGGCCTTCTCCTCCTCCGGGTTCTCCTTCCCCTCCTCCGTCTCCTCCTGGCTAACAGTTTCAGATAAAACCACGTTGTTCTCTTCCTCCGATTCCCCTCCCTCTGCCTCCTCCTCGTCCTGGAAGACATGAGAGTAAAGCGGAGCTTTTTATTCGACCATCAGGCTGCAGCCTCAGGTATAGATCATCGTTTCCTGTCTCCAGCAGGTGATAAAAATAATCACTTGTTTTTATTTGCCAAACAAACAGGTGAACCAATCCTATTTCAGATCAACTCCAATCTATGGAGTAAAATTTGCTCCATTATTGTTACAATCAAAGAACACGTTCAGTAAAAAGAAATAAAAAAAAAATCTAATACAGATGTAAAACCTTGAAAAATCTTTTGGTAAAATAAAAGATTTTAGGAACTTATTTTTCTTATTTTAAAAATTAAGTTTTTACCTGAAATTATAATTGCTTTTAACTGATTTTATATTCTAAAATTTTAATTTTTTTACAGTTTTTAAACAGTTTATTTGATTATTGAGAGGTCTGAGAGATCTGTTTTCTGAAATAATTTTTTTCAAATTATTGTTTTTACTTTAAAAAAAAAAAAAAACGTTCTATAGATGTTGTAATTAATTTTTCTAACTTATTTTATAAGTAAAGTAAAAGTAAAATAAAATTTATTGCTTTTAATTTTTTCATAAAATATTTTTATGTTTTTTTAAACAGATTTTATTATTAATTCTATGACTTATTTAATAAATTGTATTTTCTTAAATATCTTTCTTAGATTAGGTGTTTGAATTGTGCCAATGTGTTTTCCAGATCTCATTTTAAAATCTGAAAAGAATTTAAGTTGAAAGCAAAGTCTGAAAAATACATTTTAGTAAAAAAAAAATAGAACAAAAAGAAATATAAATCTGTAAAAATCTGCCAAAATTTTTTAAAAACAAAAATTTGAAGAGCTTATAGGTTAAATGGAGTTAATTCATTATGGTCGATATCTAAAAATACATACGCTATGTTGAAGGAATCGCTCCACAATAATCTCCTCCTCCTCCTCCTCCTCAGTTTCTTCCTCTGTGCTTTTCACCTCCTCTTCAACCACAACCTCTTCCTCTTGCTGTGAATTGAGAGGAACCTCCTCTTCTTCCTCTTCCTCCACCTCGTTCTCCTCCTCCTCCTCCTCCTGCTGCTGCTCGTTCTCCTCTGCGGTCTGATCAGACGTGGCAGGACACCAGACTGCAGCCTCACAACCAGCAGAATCCTCCACTTCTGCTTCCTCTCCCTTTATCTCCACTCTTTCATCAGTTTCAACCTGTTTCTCCTCTGTCTTCTCCACCTCCAGATCAAAGCCTCTGATCTCCACGTCAGGGGAGTGAGAGGCCTTCAAGGAGCTCAGCACCTCCTCTAAGAAGGAGCCGTCCTCCTCCCTGCTTTCCTGCACCATGTCTTCTCCTGAAGAAGAGTCACTTTCATATTGGTTATCAGCTGAATCTGAAAAGCCTGGAGGATCTGTCAGATGCTCCCTCGGACCAGCAGGGGGCTCTGGTGTGACACTAGAGGGAAAATAAACAAGTTCAATTTAAGGGGAGGTTAAAAAAACAATAAAAAAACATTGCAAGTCAGAGAAACAAGAGCAGGAAGTGATGTCTAAGCACCTGGGACTGTCCAGAGAGCAGGAGGAGGAGGAGGAACTGGAGGAGTGAACATGCAGATCATCAGAGGCTTCCTCCTCAGAGAGGCTGGAGACGGGAGATTCTGGAGGACAGGAAGCGTCTGGGGCGTGGGAAACATCCTGCTCTGCTTCCGGCTCATCTTCTCCCTCTTTATCCACCCGAGGGAATTCTGAGGAATCCTTCTTGGCTTCGCTGTCTTCGTCGTCCTCTTCCTCTTCACTTTCTACTGTAGGCTTCAGCTGATCGCCGCTCTCATCTGGGGCCCAGATAGAAACAGAGTTAGCTGTATACTGTATATATATACTGATTTTCTTTATTCAGACCCTGCTGATTTTTTAACTGGTTACCCCATGCCTGGTTTAGAGAGTCAGAAATGAACCGCTCTGACCTTCTGCCCTTTGTGGTTCTTGTTCCTCTGAAACTTCAGCCTCTATCATGGAGACGGTCAACTCTTCCTCCACTGCAGAGTCGCCCTCCGCCTTCAGCTCCAGCCGCTGCACAGACAAGTTACAGCAGCTTTAGCATCACCAACGTCTACTTACATTTTTATGCATTTCACATAAAATAAACAACAACAACAAAACACAACTTTTCAGTAAAAAAAAAAAAGAGAAACTAAGAGTGAGATAAGTCCATCATTTGCAGACATTCAGTCAGTAAATTCTTCTGCTTGTCTTTTATGTCTCCAAGCTATTAGAGACCAGCGCAACAAACAGCTGAGCTCTTCAGCAGGAAGTTTGGGGCTTCAGGCTCCTTTCCTCATGGTCTGAAACCGTTAGCATTAAAAATATAAAGCAGCAAAAATATATATATCTTTTTTCCAGTGAGATAAATTTAAACATTGGTCTCAAAATGCTTTAAAGGAGGACAGAAATTAAAACAATAAAGCTGAAACTAAATGCTTTAGGATTAAAGCCAGCATTAGAACTGCAGACCTGAGGGATGAGGACTTGGTGAAAAGAATGATCGATGGATATGGAGGACCAACTCTGCCATATTTAAAAATAAATACAGAAATAAATAAACGCTAAATAAATAAATAAGCATACAATTAATAGCCCCCAAAAATTCAATAAATAAACAAATGTAGGTAGAAATTAAATTATACAGTGAGACATAAATGATGACCCTCTAAGACAGCCCTTCCTCATTTGCATAATGAGGCAGAAATACAGACAGAAATGTAAAAACCACAGGCAGAAATAAATAATGTTGAAGAAATAGATAGGGTAAAAAAATACAAAGGAAGAATAAAATGGATAAAAATATTATAGCATAAATAATAAGTATAAATAAAATAAGTATTAAATAAAGCTGAAGATTATAATGGACAATAAATAAATAAGCTAATTATCACAAAGGCGAATAAATAAAGAAGTTAATTAAAAGAGATATATACATTTATGTCTCATTGTATAATTTATTTCTACTTACATTTATTTGTTTATTGTATTTTTGGGGGGCGATTATTTGTATACTTATTTATTAATTGAGGTTTTTTTTCTGTATTTATTTCTAAATAAGGCAGAGTTGTTTCTCCATAGTCTATTCCAAAAAAAGAAAATTGAAAACACTCCACTGGACTTTGTTTCCAAGATTGAATACATTTCACTTCCCATCCAAGAAGCTTATTCAATCCAAAATGTCAGGAATAGCGTTGAGTTTGAGGTTCTATACAGTAGCTTAACAAAGCATTGTTTTTTGTTTTGAAAACAGGCAAATTGCAACGGACGAAGGGGTTGACCCATTTGGGATGGGGTTGGTTTGCATGCCACCACTAGGGGCAGGTTATCTTGTTTTTAAAAGAAGCGTCTTTAAAAAAATAAATACATTTATTTAATAAGAAAATTGTTTTTTAAACATTTGTGTTAAAATAATCGTTGGCTCCGTCACCGGAAAAAGAGGGTTTAAACTTCAAAATGTTAAATTACCATTGTTGTTTGTTTAAAATATTCTTTTACTTTACTGCTTCAATGCTTGTGATGGGAAACAGGAAAATAAACCCAGAGTCAGAAATCAAGCCAAGCCTAAAACATTTCTGGGTTTACTAAGAAGTGCATTTGTGTGCACGTCTTACTCGGGCAGGTTTCCTCTTGTTGCAGGCTTTGTTTCTTAGGCCCAGCTTGTGCTTTGCAGCAGAGTTATCCAGACAGACGAAGGGACTGGCTGGCTGGCTGAAGTCCCCGGGAACCACCAGGGGGCTCACGGCTCGGCTTGAGGCTGCGCAGGACGGCTGGCGGCAGAAAGAGACAGAAGGCTTCAGCAAAGTGTTTCCCACATAACTTATTAACAGAAGGCTCACTTTACCAGCATTTATCAGCAAAACCTCTTGTTATTTACTTCTGGGGAAACCTGTTATCTGCCAATGCAGGCGAGTTTAAAAAGACAGAATCCCTGATTTAAAAGAAAAAATCCACTCTCATACCCAAAAGGCTATTAGAGGAAAATCCCGGTTTGGGAAGTTTTTATTTTTAAGGTTACAGGTGCTTTAGATTCAGGTAAAGCCTACAAATGGGCAGTGGGGGTTGAGATTAGCTCGTGGAGAATAAAATGTAAAGCAGTATAACCTCTAAACAGAAACATGACAGTGTGAGGCAGAGAGGCGTGTCGAATCAGAACGCTGTAACTAAAAGCAGACATGCTGACTGCAAAACTTACCATCGGAATGCAGCCTGAACACACAGACTCACATACAGTAGGTCAGTGTGATACCAACCACTGTGGCTGGAAACCAGGGGAAAAGGGGTCAGAAAAACAAAGCACAAAAAAAGAGCAAGATAGAAAAATGAAATGAAGAGGAAGAGTGGGTCAGGATGCAGGTTTCCATTTAAGGTTAGAGGAGCAGATTGAGGATCCGTTTAAACAACCACCATCATTCACAGATACAAGCATCACGCTCTAAGCATATGGAAGCCCTTTACTGCGCAAAAGATTAGTGTTTGTGTTGGAAAGAGATGCTGTCAAAGAAAGAGTTTCAGAAATATTGAATAATAATTTTGAAACCCTGAGCAAGACCCCTAACCCCACACTGCTCCCCGGGCGCCGCACAATGGCAACCCACTGCTGCCCAAGGGGATGGGTTAAATGCACAGAATTAATTTCTCCAGTGTGAGATCTTATTTCTGGGGAGGGGCGGCCAAGTGATTAGGGCATTGCGCTTGGAATCCTGAGGTTCTGAGATCGACCCCTGCACCCACAGACTGCCACTCTGGGTCCCTGAGCAAGACCCTTAACACCCCACACTGCTCCCCAAGGGGATTGGTTAAATGCAGAGAGTGAATTTCATTGCTCTATACTTGTGACACTGTAATGACAATAAAAGCTGGAAGAAGAGAAAAGGAAGAAGAATTATCCACCTCCAGCTACTGTTGAACTGATTTCAATAAAAATAACTAAACATGCACTAAAATGCAAACATTTTTTAAAGATATATATGTAGAAGCAGTCTGGGTGCTTGACTTTACGTCTCTTTATGTACATTGTAATTATGGTATTGATTTTTTTGTTCTGATTTAATTTTATTTTTTGGACAGTAGGCCGACAGTAAAAGGGGGTATGAGAGAGGGGGAGAGACGGCAAAGGACCAAAGGTTGGATTCGAAACCGTGAGGCCTAACGCCTTCATACATGGACATGCTCGCCAACCTCGCCAACCACTGCGCCACCAAAGGACGCCAAAGTGCTCCGTTATGCATTTCTTTGTAAAACAACAACCCACAATAGCATATTTGTCTGAAACAAAAGAAAACATTTGAAATGTGTCTATGGAGAGAAAAGTGATCCAATATTATTAAAAGGGCACAGTTTTCAAAAAAAGTACATTTGAAAAACCTCTGAATCAAAACAAGGTTTTAGAAGTAACTTATGGTGTCTGTGCAAAATTTCAACCAATGTTTTAACAGTTTTTTTTTAAATACTTTATTTTGTAAACTTTATCTTTTTACATTTCATTAGATTTGTTTTTATTTTCATTTTTTTCCCAAATGTATTTCTTTTTCAAAGAAAATGTATTTTCTTGTTTCTTTCCATTTTCTTTTTACATTTCATTTTCTCACATTTTATTTGGAAGACTGCACATTCTTTTCAAATCCCATTTTATAGATTTTACCCTCTGTAATTCTAGGTGCGCTGTGCACAGACCAATAGAAATGCTGTTGCTAACGTCCAAGCCCAGTAAATGCATTTCTCCCGTAATTATTTAAAAAAAAGAAAAAAAACAACATTAAAGGTACAAAGAAAAAAAAAAGGGAAAATAAAATTAGTGTTCGAAATTTTGCAAACAATAAAATTTTATTTTTATTACCTTTTTTCTTTTAGAATAAAAAATTATAATTTTTTTTTCAGATTTCCTCTTTTAAAACATGTTCTTTGCTTTTAAAAGTAGTAGAAAAAAATTATCTTATTAAAACTCTCAAACTAACACAAATTAAGGTTTAAAAACAAACCAACAACAACCCACAATATAGCATATTTGTCTGAAAACAAAACAAAAAAACTAAGATTTTATTTATTTATTTATCTAATTCATAACACAAACATTAAATTTGTGATTTATAAAAAAACACAATCAAATAACTAAATAAAAAATACATTTAAAATTATGCATTGAATAAGAAATGTCATAAAAAAATAATTAAAAATATGTATTTCTTTAATTTGATAGAGTGAAATAACTATGGTTGTCAGTAATTATTACTATTCTTTTGATTTAACACGTAAAACTACAAAAAGTGAAAAGTTTTAGGCTTTTTTTACATAAACTAAGAAAAACAAAAAAATCCAAGGCATTGACTACTTTTTAAACCCTTATTCTGTAGTAAGTCACTGCTACACCTTTAATGACCGTCTCTTTTTACGGCTGTCCATTTGTCCCTCTTTCCAGTTGGGAAAACGATTGGGCGAAATATTTTATAGCTGCCAAAACCGCACATCATTAAATGCTCATTTGTAATACTGCGCTGCAGAGCCTCCAGCCTCCACTGGAGTCAGGAAGACTGAAAAGGATCGCTTAAATTCTCAGCACATCCAGAGCTGCGTTCATGCAGAATGTTCAGATTTGATTTAAGACTAAAGTGTTTGTTTGGGAGCAGCTGGAGATGATTCCTGCAAGAATGAAAATAGAAACGGAGCGAAAGAGAGAACAAATGATGAGAACTGACAGTGGTTGTGTGTAGATTCAGAAGGAAGCAGGTCCGTCTACATGAAGAATGCTTTTATCTAAATCCAAAAGCCATGGCTCAATATTTAAACTCAGATCATGAGATCTTCACCACCATAATCACATGAGCCACATGTCCCACACAAAAACCTCCCCACACACACAGTCCCAAACTCTTCCTGGCTATTTTTGTTTACTTTACTCACAGAAGCTACAATAGCAAACCTGTAGAGGCTAATAAAATCTTTAAAAAGTAACTGGAACCCAAATTAACGGCAGAGAAACTAAATAGATCCTTAAAAGGCTCCACAACTAGTTGAACTAAACTCCACAGCTAGTTGAACTAAATATGCTATATTCATAATAACTGAAAAATTATTTGTGATTTGTAAAAATGATTTATAAGATCTCATATTTTTCAGCCATGGGGGTCACCATTTTCCCCCTGAGCATCGTATGCTAGGTAGATGATGCAGTTAGTTCTGACTGGACTAAACACAGGAATGCTAACATTAGCAGAGTTGTTTTTTTATTGTATTGTGTTTGACTGCTGTAAACACACTGTGTCACTGCCTCAAAGTTTTCATGAACGAATTACACATGAGATATCTGTTGAAGCAAACAAATGAGATCTGCTTGTTATCTACTGTTCACTAGATTAGCTGGAGCTAACACCATTAGCAGAAGCTAATGTTAATTCAAACTGAAGATAATGAATGACGGTTTAAAGTGAGAGTGAAGTATCTTTCAGTCATTGTAACACATAGTTCTAATATATGTGAGAATATGAGCATGCATCAGAGCAGACTTGTCCGTTTCTGAGACAGCTGTCCCACAATGCACTGCGGCAACAGTAGCTTCCAGGTTAGCGCTCACAGAGCTCAGAGTATAAAGTTAAAAGTTCTCTTTTCTGTTGCCGTTGTTCTATAAAAGTACATTTTAAGCCTCATCGTGCGTCGTGTAGTATACGGGGAGGTTAGCCTCTTGACCACCTCTCGATCAGGAATTGTAAGGTCGGAGAAAATCAAACATGTTTGAAAATCAGTATTTATGGGCCAAATGATAAGAATTCTACGGTCTACTATCTTCACCAGCAGGAGCTGCCGTTTGTCTGACACGTTTTGCTGCATAGAGCTGTAACAAATTGTCCTAGGGGAATGGATGCTAATATGATGTAAGTTGGACAGTTTCAACATAGGCCGGGGGTTGGCAACCCTCGGCTCTTCAGCGTCCCCCTTGCGGCTCCCTGGAGCTTCTTATGAGATTCTATTTTTTGTTAGCTTTAATATGGTGTGTATGAGGTCAAACAAAAAATTCATTATGTTTTCCAATGCTGTAAATAATTGTATAATAAATAAATGTAAACAATAATTTGCCTCACAGCCATAGAGATCAGTGGTTATAACTTGCAACCAGGTGTGTCTCGGACCATGGATCCCAAAGGGAAAAAAAAGGAAGATAACTGATGAGAAAAGAGGATTCAAATAGACCGAATAATTTGCATTCATTACCAATGCGGAAGGATTGTCTGCATTTGTGCTTTGTAATGAGAGGTTGTCAAAAAATAAAAATAAAAATTTGGAAAGGCATTTCCAGGGAAGGCTAAATATGCAGCCGACCATCAAGCTGGGAGTGAGAGAAAATGTGCGATTGCAGAACTTATGGATAAAGTAGAGGACAGCAAAGACAGATTTAACAAGTGGATTGCATCTCCACTACTGCTGCTAGTTTGGTTGCAAGCATAGAAAACCGTCCACAGATCAAACAGGTAGCGCTCTGATGCAGGAATGTGCACTTTCTTCCACTTTTTTCCCCAAATCCTAAAAATATAAATCACTCAGGAATGATGGTGATGGAGGATGTGGGATTTCAGGGTTAGAGAGCTCTGCTCTGACAGATGTCAGTTCCTGCTTGGTTCCTCATGACTCAATCAACTCCTCCTAACAGAAACACGTCCACCATAGAAAGATTCCTTTATCCTGTTTCTATAGTTTCATCAATGCAACAAAACTAACCACCCTTCAGTGCGCGTTTAACTTCACGTGGTGGTAGCGTTCACTGCTCCTCCCTCACCTCATGCTACTATGTGACATTTGCTCCAATAAACCATTTAATCCTGAATGCTTATTATATATTTAAGCATATGTAGTCCTTCTTTATATGAGGCATTTATAAGACTTTTACATTTTTGCGGCTCCAGACAGATTAATTTTTTTCTTTTTTGGTCCAATATTTGGCTCTTTGAGGAGTTTGGGTTGCCGACCCCTGACATTGAGTAAGCAGCTGGAATTAAAAGCATTGATTAATAGCATTTTTCAGGTTAGGGTTTTATAACCTATGAGTCCGCATTATTTTGGGATTATTCATTTATATCAAATAGACTGTCCGTCTCTCTCGTCCTGACTCCACCACAGGCATTTCTTCAAATTTGTCTCAATGGAAGGGTTATGCTGTTACACAGAGTTTAGGTACATATAAAGTGTTCTGTTACCTGTTCATCGCCATCGATCCTATGCAGACTGTTTGAGCTGTTCCTGTCACCATTGCCCTGAAAAAAGCACAAAGATTGAGAGTGAAGCCGTCATGTGGCAGACAGAATCCAGACGGACTGCAGAGGAAACTTTTGATCACTCATGTCTGTTACCTTGACTGAATGAAGGGGCGTAAAATCAGGTGGGCTGCAGGGTAGGCCGTCATCCTCAGACATGGTTCCAGCATCGTCTGACTTCTTTACACACATCAGGGATGGAGGTGAACCCAGTCTGATGGCCTGCTTCAGCTGCAGCTGCAGGTCAATCACATTGTTGGAGCTTGTTAGAGATTTTCTGTCTATGGCTTTCTTCCAGAGCCTAATAAACACTTTTTAATGCGCCATTCATTTTCTTGTTAAGTTGAAGACATGTCACACGATTTTCAATTTCTTTCATGAAGGGTCAATATACAAGATTCTATCTACAATACTTATATCTAAGATTTATTTTGGGATTATTCACTTATATCTAAGAGCATTGTTATTGTTTTTGGAGATATCGGTGTGCATGTGTTCATCGCTCCTCTCTTAGCTATCCATTGTTAATATCTTCTTTGATTTGTCAATAAAGGTTTATTTTGATTAAATTGAGACTTGTCATTTTGATCATGTAAATGGAGGGGGAAAAATGCAATATCCACATGAAAAATCACCCCTGAAAATAAGCAACACATAGAAGGGATTGCTTAGATTGATTTTAAAATAATTAATACTGGCCTGAAAAAAATAATTCTGTGAAATCCTGTATTTAGACTGTTTGCAGCCTCCATAGAGAGCAGCTCCAGTGCTTCCCTGTTTATCCTCAGCACTTGGTTTTCCATGTCTTGTTTTTTAACACAGCTGTTTGCCCCGCCTTAAACCATCAGACTGCAACATGAGTGGCCGCTCCTTTTTTGAGTCTTTCTTAAAGTACAAGATTGATTCTGGTGTGTTTTTAAATGCATGATTACCAGGAGACACGGGCGTAACTTCCCGAAGGACTGGTAGGGACATGTTCCCACAAATAATTTCAATACATACACTTTGGCTCTCAACATTGTGTGGGACAAATTTCTAAATTTTATTTTACCGCTTTTGAAGGTAGATAATCCATGATAAAGCTGAAAGGGAAAACATCCATCAAACAATCCACATTTTTCTGGATGGACTGATGGATGAATGAATGAAACTGAAATAGTTTACATACTAGGGAGGCATGCTATATTGCCTTTTGCATCGGAATCGGCGGGTATTCATCTTTTTTTTTATACATTAATGTCTAACTACCCATAAATATACATATCAGTATATTTTGGTTGTTTTGTGTTCTCAACCATAGGAAAGTATTCAATAAATATATGTTTGAGCTAATTTTTGGAAAATACAAACCCTATTAAAAGCGTTTATGTCAAGTAATTGTAGGTCCATCAGCCTCCACCCTTAGAGTCCCCACCACCTTTCATCACAAAGTTACATCCTTGCCAAGAGAACTCCAGCTTCCAGGGTAGGTAATGCAACACTGACATTAAAGTTTTAGGGAAGCGGCTGTTCCGAATTCTCCCGAGTGGTGCACGACTTTACACGAGTGAATAAAGAGAATGTGATTGGTCGATTGTTGTGGCGGAAGGTTCGCAAACAAGTTTGATTGTGGTCGGTTTCTAACCCGCTAGTAGGTTCCCAATGGGAAATTCTATTGGAACCAAGTTGCACTAAATTGGTGACTTAGAAACGACACTGTCAAGGAACGCTATGGACGGTGAAAACATGCAAGAGGAGGAGAGTTTAGTGTCGGAGGTCGTGGATGAGTCTCCTCCATCATCCATTTTTCATTTAGAGGAGGAAAGCGGGATGAAGATGTTGTGGAAGAGGACGCCAGGGAGGCAGAAGCTTGGTTTGTTGTAGAAGGCTTACAGCCGTACATGTTTGAGCCCTTGCCTCACAACGCTGCCAGTTCTGTTAGCTCTACGCCTGCCGAAGACACAGACGTCCATCCCCGTGAACACTGGGACGGAACTCAATGGGAAAGGAAATTATTCTGATTTCAACCGTTGAATATATTAGCTGCGACATATGAATCAAGATGCTACGACCGAAAAAGTTTTATTGAAAGATGACCGTTGATATGTGATTGGCTGAATTTAGGTGTTCAGGCTGACTTATAACTAACTGGCCTGAATAAGATAACCAAAAAAAAATTTAAATAGAAATTTTCTAAATTTGGGACAATATGGTCTGATAAAGAGTACATTTATATACAGTACATGTTTAAGACAGAATGATGTGAAATTCAAATATGACTTCCCTTTAAAGATTTTTTGTCTTTAATTGCATCTTGCTTTAACTATTTGTACTCTATATAAGCTACTGGAACCAGAATTTCCCTGAAGGAGTAATCCCAAGGGATAAATAAAGTTTAAAGTTTAAAATGATGCAGATTCAATTGAGGGTGAGATATTTTCCATGACCTCAGATGACAGGGAAACCCAGAGTTTTACTTCCCGTTTAATAATTACAGCAGAGGTTACAGTTAGTGTCACTGCTCTGCGCCGTGCACAATCATTAACAGGGCATGACTTTTAGGAAGAGTTTACTGGTAATGGAGGATAGTTGAATGCTATGATAGGCTCTTCTATTTTCTCTTGATGGGTATCACAGAAACTCAAACAGGCTTCTTATCGCCATTCAACCTTCTGTCAGAAACTTGAGGACTCATTTACGTGGGCACAAGGCAAACTGTTAACAGCACAGCTTTTGTTTAATCCACCTAAACAAAAGCCGTGCTTGAAGCAGGCATGCTTTGGTTAGAAAGAGGCACGTTAATGAATGACATATAAAGTATCCTGGCACCTAATGGAGCCATCCATCCTGATCTAAAATGTAGAACTAATAAAAGCTTCTCTGAGGAAACACGTCTTATGTTTACCTAGCAGTGTTGCACTGTTTACTCTGTAATAACAGCTCATTAGATATTGATCTTTTCGTAATGTGTTTATATTTGGCTCTGGGGTGACCCAATTCTGCTTATCACACAGGAACCCTTGCTGAGAGCGAGGATTAAAGCCCAGAATATCTCCATCAGATCATTTACTCTCTAAATTCAGTTTATGCTAATGCCTTTATCTCTACTCCCATCTGCAACCGTCCTCTAGAGCGGCTTCATGTCTCTCCAGGAGCATTTGTCCATCTTGCTTTTTTTTATCCCCGGTCTGCAAATAGACCCAAACACTTTCTCTTCATTTTGGCTGCAGGGACAAAGCAAATCCCCTTAAGGAGTAGCTTAATTCCTGCTTCACACAGCTTAGCAAAGCACTGGACGTCACATCTTCCGCTTTTAAACTGTTGTTGTGACAGACGGATATTTGGTTGATCTCACCGCCTCGTCCTTGTCATCAACTTCATTTTGTTTTAAATGTTTCTGAGTTCTAAATGTTTGAGTGGACTCGCTTTCTAGATATGCATCTGAGTTTAGAGCCATATGATGATTTATTCCTGTCTGTTGCTCTCTGCCCTCTCTTAGAATCAGTTTGGCTGAATGTCAAAAAGAGCAGCAGGGTCCTTTAGTTAAACATCATCATCTTAATCCTTAATCGTTACAATATGGACATACATTTGTTCCAATATTATTTAAAGTCGTAGGGAAACGGCTGTTCCAACTGTTGCATTTCCAAATCCTCCTGAGTGGTGCCCAACTTTACACGAGTGAATGAAGTGAATGTGATTGGACGTTTATCAAGGGGGCGGGATTGTTTGGTTGTGGGCGGTTTATCCGGAGCATTTTGCTAACCAGTTAGCAACTTAGTGCTAGTAGGTTCCCAATGGAAATTCCATTGGGACCAAGTAGCACTAAATTGGTGACTTAGAAACGACACTGTCAAGGAACGCTATGGACAGAGGAAACATGCAAGAGGAGGAGAGTTTAGTGTCGGAGGTCGTGGATGAGTCTCCTCCGTCATCCATTTTTATTTAGAGGAGGAAAGCGGGGACGAAGATGTTGTGGAAGAGGACGCCAGGGCGGCAGAAGCTTGGTTTGGTGTAGAAGGCTTCCAGCCGTACATGTTTGAGCCCTTGCCTTGCAACGCTGCCAGTTCTGTTAGCTCTACGCCTGCTGAAGACACAGACGACCATCCCCGTGAACACTGGGACGGAACTCAATGGGAAAGGAAATTATTCTGATTTCTTATTTCAACCGTTGCGTAAATTAGCTGCGACATATGAATCAAGATGCTATGACCGAACAAATTTGATTGACAGATGAACTTTGATATATGATTTTAGGTGTTCAGGCTGACGTATAACTAACTGGCCTGCATAAGATAACAAAAAAAACCACAGATTTTAAGACAGGATTTTTTTTAAATATACATTTTCTCAATTTTGAGACAATAAAGAGCATATTTATGTACATGTTAAAGCCAGAATGATTTGACATTTAAATATGATTTCCCTACAATTTTAAAGTAAGGGATATGCTTCAAAAAGGGTACTTTGAAAAACTTCTCTAAAAAACTAAAGATTCTAAGAGTAATTTATTGGCCAGTGCACAGACTGCCCAACAATGTAGAAAGTGGAATACATAAAGCTGGATTTGAAAAGAATCACATTCGTGGCACATAGTGGTGGCAGTATCATGCTGTGGGGATGCTGCGCTTTGTAATATATGAGAAAAAAAATTCTCCAAGTTAATGGGGATAACTAAAGACAGAGCAGTCCTGAAAAGAAGAATTGTTCTACTTAGAAAAAGGATGTAAACATGCAGCCAAAGCTTTGACAGAAAGTTCAAATCAAACACCTTCATTCATATGTACGGTCAAAGTCTAAACATAAAACAAATTAGAAAGTTGTAGCAAGAGTTCAAAGTTTCTGTTCATCATCCAATCTGACTGAGCTGGAGTTTCCTCTGCAAGATGTGCTAAACTAACATTTAAAGCCCTAAAATATTAAAATAACATAGTCTCATTGGAATCAGCTTTTTTTTTTAGACACTGGGTTTATAACAACACAGTTTCAAACTGTGCCATTTTGCATTTGATTTATTTTTTGTTTTTACTGTAAATTCAGCGGGGGAAAAAATTGCCTGTAGAAATACACCTGAAAAATTAATCAAAATGTTTTTATCTTAAATGATTTTTTAAGCCAAAGCAAGCAGCACTAAAGCAAGCCCAGTGTCTGTAGCGCTATTTGAGCTTAGCTTAGCTAATCCACTATGCTCCTGTGATCAGGTGCCAATCCAGTGCATTGGGCTTAGATTATTTTCCTAAATAGCTCTGATCAGATCAGTTAAACATTTCCACCCATCATGCTTTCACCAAAGTACACCTGGTTCAGGTACCATGAATATTTAGTCTCTTTTTTGGTTCTGGTCCTTTCCACAAGACAATCAGCTTTGGTCATCAACAGTGTAACTCCCACACTCAGAAGGTAAAGGGCAATTATTTGCAGTTACATTTTTGCAGAATAATTTTTTTTAGCCTTAAATTTCTGCAGAATTTTGCAGATGAATTTCCAGATTTTTGTATCTAAAGTTTTAGAGTTTAATTTTTGCTGTCGGATTTCTGCAGTTCAGCATTTTCATATGTGAATTTCTGCTGTTGAATTTCTACAGACAGCATTACTGCTGGTAAATTTAAAGCAAAAAGCACAAGATAACAACTATAGATGATGCTAACTTTCTTCCTCTGAATGCAGATAAAACAGGTGTTATAGTCTTTGGACCAGAGTCTTAGAAAAAGAAAAAGAAGCTGATTAGTCAGTCACTTCATTTGGATGGGATTAAACTGATCTCAGTAATAAAGTAAGTCATATTTCATCATTCTGCTTCATTCTATCTCTATTCTTCCATTCTGCAGAATCTGTTAGTTCTATCTCTAATGTTCTGCCCTCTCTGCTTTTTCTCAGTGCAACTTCGCCTCGTCTGTTCCTGTTTGGCTGTGACTCCATCCTATAGAGAAATATCAGCTGGCTGTGTGTTTCCTGGACAGGGCCGCCTTTTACAGCTGCTTTTTGTATCTCTGCTTCTGTCTCCTTGAACCCCAGTCGGCCTCAGCAGATGGCTGCTCACACTGAGCCTGGTTCTGCTGGAGGTTTCTTCCTGTTAAAAGGGAGTTTTTCGTCTCCACTGTCACTAAAAGCATGCTTAGTGTGAGGGATTGCCTTCCAGTCAATGAGTCGATGCAATCAACTGGTTTTCCTTAGACAGAAAACCTTGAAACAGTTTGACTGGATGATCTGGTGAACTGTAAAGTGCCTTGAGATGACATGTGTTGTGAATTGGTGCTATAGAAATAAACTGAATTTAATTGAACACCTTGGTGTTATTTTTGATGAGGACCTTTTATTAAATCCCATATCATATTAGATATAACATGTTGTGAATTGGTGCTATAGAAAAAAAAAGTTATTTAATTAAATTGATAAATAAATCCCTTTTTACATTGAAAGTCTAAAAAAAACGTCAGATTCTAATGATGCTGTATTTCTTTTATTTTTTAAAATATATTTTAGGCTGTAGTGGTCTTTATTTTGTTATTTTTGAAAGTATGTAGACAGGAAAGTGAGTCAGAAGAGAGGGGAGAGACATTCGGCAAAGGTCAGCAGGACTTGAACCTGCGACAGCCGACATATGGGTCATGCTCTCTACCTCCACCATAGCAGCACCCCAAGGCTGCTATGGTGGTATTTCTTTTATACAAAAAATATATGGAGCTGTAATAACAGATTAAATTGCAGATTAAAGATAAACTTACACCATTTTTCAAATTTCACTCTAAAGTCATTCACATAATTTCCTGACGATCTGCGCCGTTAACTAAAGAGTCAGATAACCTCTGCAGTCTAACAGATATGTGAGAGCCGCTGCGTTCCATATTTACCTGAAGGGATTTAACTTTCCCGCTAATGCTGTCTTGAGAAGCCCCAAGACCCTCATTAGCTTCCGATGAGTCGGACACGAAAACTGAGTCGTGTGACAAGGCCTTGTTGCCCAAACTGATCTTAGACCTTTAGAAGAAAGAAACGGGGGAAAAAAAAAATCAAGAAGACAACAAACAAACAAAAGTCTAGTAAATAGGCTAATCTATAACAGGAATATGGTTTTCTGTTCAGTTGACTACTTATGATGACCACTGCAAAATTTAACAAGACACATCCTGTGAGGCAAATACCAGCGGCGGCGGGAAGTGGTAGGGCTTGTGGAAACAAAGCGTTAACAGGATGCTCTGACTTCTGTGGGATTTCCAGGATCTAAGATCAATCTAAAACAATATCTTCCTTTCCTAAATTAACAACACATTCGCTTTTTATCTAATCAGGCAGATGGACTCTGAGGGAAAGAAACACATTAGAAAGAAATCATGATTGATTTTCATTCACGTACAGGGAAATAAACTATTTGAAATCAAAATGTTATTATTCCAGGGGTTCATTAACCTATTCTAAATTCTGAAATTAAGTTTTTTTAATATAACTTAGCCTCAGTAGTGCACTGATAATGCCTTACTGCTAAAACTTGTGAGATCTGTAGAGGTACATCCTTTTTGCAATTAACAGAAACCAATAAAATCTTTACTTTCTAACCCTCTAGGATTTGTGAAAGCAATTCAAATTTTCCTGTTTCTCTGTAACAACCTTCAGGTCTGTTTACTGCCAGACCTAAGAAATCACTCAAACAGAACCTGTCTGATAACATGAAGTATGCGTGATCGTACCCAGATCCCTTATCCTTCTCTGAGCGAGTGAGCGCATTATTCTCTGAAGCTTTGCTGACATCGTCACTCGACTGGCTTCCCTTCAGGCCATCTTCTACTCCTGCACTTTGTGGCTCCTTCCTTTTTTTCCGGGCAAACAATTTTTTAAATGTCTGGAACTTGGATTTCTTCTTCCCTGAAAAGAAAAAAAAAAAAAAATTTAAAGTAATTATAAAGAGTGTAACACTGATGTATGGTATATTACGAAGCAAATCAGACATAATATTTCCTACAAACGCTATGTAATCAGTAATTAGCTCAGTAAAATAGCTGCAGTTAGCAAAAAACAAAAAAAGAAACACTGTCCCGCCTTGCATACCTTAGATGCATGGAAAGCATCTCCAACAATACTACAGTCCATGTTTAATACCACTGCAGTGGAGTAACAAACTTAATCAACAGCTGCAAACTGTTTGTGCAGAACTTACAATAACCACCAGTTTTCACCCCAAAGCTGCTGCAGAGTTTACACTTTAGCATTCAATCTTATTTTTCTCATTTTATAGCATAAAAACCAAACATTTCAAAGTAATGCAAAATTATGCAGAGTACACACGGTTCCTCAAGAATATGCTGAACACTGTTTCATGGACACCAGAATGACCTGAACTGCACTGCCAAAAAAGTGGAAGGTCTTAAAAAGGTTTGTTGATAGAGACGCTCTGCTGCATCTGCCTGAGCTGCTTTGCATTAAAGAAAAAAAAAAAGTTAAAATTACTCAGCTTCTAGATTTTCAAAGTAACAAGAGGTGGTTCTGAAAAATGTTGACCCCGCAGGGGGCTAAACACAAATGCATGTCACACACACACACCCACACCCACACACAATGATTGTATTATTATTTTTTTTTTAACCTTACAATTATGATGATCGATCTGAAAAAAAAATTAGTATATGTATACATATATATATATATACGTATATACATAGTAATTACTTAATTAGTTGACAATTATTTCAATTAATCACAATTAATCCAATTAATTGTTTCCGCCCTACTTTATCATATCACCTCTTATTAAAGCACATTTCTCCTTATACAAGTTTCTTTAAAATTGCTAAGTGAGTGTGAGGCCTTTCTGCATGGCCACTTTAAATATCAGGGGGAAACACCACCCAGCCATGTCATTTACTGAGCTATTTTCCACATAATACATGACACCAAAGGGCTGAAACCTGGAGGCGGCAGGAAATGGCCAGCCAGCCGGGGTAAGGTCACTGACTCAACCTTGATTTCCCAACATTCAGCCTCTAATATGACAATAGAACTACTCAGAATAGCAGCGATGAGAATTCATCAGACTCTAAGGTCAAAAACGAAGGACCTGATCTACACTGACACAGTGAGAAGGTCGTGACCTTTGAGAGAAACATAATGGGTCTGGACCAGGGGCAGAGCAACAGTTTTTAGTTTTTTATAAAAAAGTAACTTAGTAACT